GCCCCTCTCCCTGGACGGGTGCGACAGCCGCTGCCTGCCAGGAGCTGGTCGGGGGCCAGGACGCAGCTTTGCTACGAGCCCGTCTGTGCGAGTTCAGTGCTTCATCTGCAGAGTGAGCGAGGTGAGCGCTGGGGGTTTGCTGCCACGGTGTGGAACTCGCTGCGCCTTTCACTGAAGGGTCTTAAAACTGCTCGGCAAATGGAGCGAGCCTCTCTGCCCCGAGCCGTGGGTAAGTACGTCCCCACCCTGGACACGGGGAAACTGAGGCAAGGAGAGGCGAAGTCGCTTGGACGCACAGCAAGTCAGGGAGAAGCAGCACCGGGGCAGCAGTCCTGCCTCCTAGCGCTGTTACTCATCAGATCCTCCTCCTCCTCCTCAGCTTCATCTCGGTGAGCTTTGCAAATGCAAGCGAAGGAACCAGGGGTAGGGCCACGGGTGGCTCGCTGGGGCTTTCACGGGGTCGTGAAGGGCCGTATGACATTCCCAGACCTGTCCCAGCTTTGCTCCCACCTGGGCCAGGTGCTCTGCGGTCTCCAGCAAAAGACTCCCAGTCACATTCTGGAATTAAAAGCAGCTTTTACTGAGATACACAGAAATGGGGACGTTTTCCCAGAGGAAAAACATGCGCACTGAGCAACTGCCAGAAAAGGCAGCGGTGCCCATTGCAGGGCCATCTCCAAGCGCAGTCCTCACTCCTGAGGACAGAAGGTGACAGATGTTTCAAGATCCCTATAGCCCTCATCGTGCAATGGTTTTAGACTGAAAATCAGCTTTGGGATCGGCAGCAGACTGATTTCAACCAGGTTTCTCCCTTCGGCAAAAGAAGTACAACTGCAGCAAGCCCGCTGAAGGCAGCAGAGCTCCGTCTGCTTTCTCAGACCTCTCAGCGCGCAGTAGCCAGCCCCGCTCTAGCACCCTGCCTTCCCAACACGGGGCTAACAACATGTGCCTTTACAAGCTGAACCTCTTCACAATCTGCCAAGTGAGACCTGCGCCCACAGCTCACGAGAAGTGTGGTGAGTGTAAACAGAAGGGCTACGAGGGGGGAACAGATCCTACAAGGGACTGAAATGCATGCAACCAAACGGCACGGTGTCTCCAAGAGGGGACAGAGCTCACAGTGGGAAAGATCACACCCCGGCCCCAACCAGCACTCCCATCAGAGCAGGTTTTCTGCTCCAGGCTTCGAGGGGAGAGACTGTGGGCAGGGGCCCTGTGAGGAAATCTAGCGAATGTGTGTTATTTGCAGACAGCATCACAGTGGTTAGTGTCGATTCGAACGGCAGGTAAGAAGAGGGGTGAGTTCACTGGAACAGTACACAGCCGTGGCTCAGTCGGGAAGAAGAGGATCTAGGAGGAGTGAGTGCGTGCACCGCAGAGACAAGAGGCCTCCATCAGTCCAAGGATAAGAAGGTGAAATAGAAAAAAAGGCCTGGGGAGTGTCACGTTGCCCCAGGGATTCACAGTGCCAGAGCAAGGGGAAAGACGTGAAAACGGCAGGCGGCTTCCTGGATCCACATCTCCGACTCCCCCAGCCTGCTCCCCTCTGCACCCCCCACCTCACAGGAATCTAACAGCGCGTTACCCTTGTTTCCGAGTAAGGAGAATTCACAGTGTTCAGCAGTGATCAGGTACAAAAGCCGTTTAAGTCTACAGTCTCCTAAGTGCTGCTGCTTTTGACGTAGTGCCTACGCGGGGCTCAGTGCGAGCAGCTGGAGGAAGAGGGAGTTTAGAACAGCAGACAGATCAGATCGCAAAGGCACGGTTAGACTGGGTGGACACGGGGTGTGTTTGCTTTAGAAGATAGTGGTCTCATACTTAGTGCTGAGGGTCCGCTTGGAGTCCTGTTTGGGGTCCACGACCCAGGAGACACTGGCATGAGACTGGGAGTCTTGGTCCACTTCAGGGGGCTCCAGCTAGAAAATAAGGAGAGGAAGGGCATGTGAGGTCACCCATGCTTCTGGGAAGGAACAAGCGGGGATTCAAAGCACGGAGAGGCTGCTGCTCTGCCTAACGCCCGTCCCCAAAACGCGCGCGTGTGCAGGGGAGCGGCTCTCCCTGGAGAGGCACTCGAGTCGTTCACGGCTAAAACATGTCTAGCCGCGTCAGTCTCAACCCAGCACCCTGCGATGACTTCCCGAGTCAGGCCTGCGAGCCCCTGTTACCATGAGTGACAGCTTCGCTTCATCTCACAAACAAGCACGAAAAATTCAGCGCTATTAAAAAAACAAAAAATAGAGGCAAAGGGAGAGAGAGGGAGACAGCTCCAAGCAGGTGAGCTCCCACGTGATTTACTCTCCTGGTCAAGCCAGGCTCTTTCATCTTGTCCTCCTAAATCAGGATCCTACAGGAAGGTTAACAACACCACAAAGAGCAACGCAGTTAGTCGAGAGCTGCCACTCGGCATCACCGGGGACGGATATGAGCGGTTTGCTCCTGGGGTACATCTGAGCCCCTGGCATGGCCCTGGAACAAGCGGGAAGGGAGGACAGCAGCGAGGACACAGGACCACAGCAGGAGACACGGGAAGCGGGGAGGCAGGCGGGCAGGCAGCAGCGGAGCCCGGGTGGGATCGCAATGGAAGATGGCAGGAAGAAGCGTAAAGACCTTGGCTCCGGGACTAAGAGACTGCAGCGGCAGGTAGGAGGGGCGGTGTGTTGTACAGGTGTGACAGTAACAACAGCGAGAGTCGGGAGGGAGCGGCACCTGAGCGGGGGGAGCAAGCAGAACACAGACAAAAGGAGACATTAAAGGAAGGCAACGGCTTAGGCAGCAGTCCCTGCTCCTCAGCAGCTCCAGTCTCGGCTGGGTTTGGCTACAGCGGCAGTCCGGCGCTGCAGAGCGGTGTGTTGTACAGGTGTGACAGTAACAACAGCGAGAGTCGGGAGGGAGCGGCACCTGAGCGGGGGGAGCAAGCAGAACACAGACAAAAGGAGACATTAAAGGAAGGCAACGGCTTAGGCAGCAGTCCCTGCTCCTCAGCAGCTCCAGTCTCGGCTGGGTTTGGCTACAGCGGCAGTCCGGCGCTGCAGACCGCAGGCTACCTACTGATCACACTGCGGCTCGGCAGGGTTTGCACACA